ACTCTTGACTTAAACAGAGCATCAACTTACCATCAGCTTATAATGCAGTGTTGTCCTTCCCTTTCATTCGCTCATAGACTCAGATCCTGTTCTTGGTTCTTATGGTGTCTTTCACCAACTGTTGTGTTGGCACTTTGATTCCGCCGACTCCCCAGAAGCAGTCTATGGTTTCTTCAGTTACCGCAGTGAGAGTGAATCTTTTGTAACAAACTATCTGTCAAGATCCAGATAGGTTTTAGTCAGTTCCTAGAAGTTTAATTGGTTTAGAAATATTTAACTTCTATAAACCCATACAAGATTACTTAGTACCATACCAATAACTGTAAAAACAGACGTATGCAATATTTCCTTGAAAATAAAAGTTATGTCATTATTTGCTTACTTAGTTTATGGGTTTTGAATGACATGCAAAACAGCTATTTTTAGAGTGTCTTTTTGCCCTTTTTGTATTTTATAGACTCTATGAAGTGTTTTGTGAAAAAAAAGATTTTATGAAGTGAAAAAACTACATTTAGGGTTCTTCATTTGTTAATTTACAGTAGGTTTAAAGCAACATGAGGATGGATAAATCATGACAGGAGTTTCATTTTTGGTGCTAGTTTCCATTTAACACACCCCAGAAATGATCTTGCAAAATATAACTAAATTATTTTGCACAACATTGTTTTTTTTTTCAGGCGAGATCTTCTTGGAGAAACTCTTCCCAGACTGGAGATGTCCGGACGGTGACTTCTTCTGAATGTTTGCCATCTTCTTCCCATCTGCCATTTGCTGGAGCAAACATCTCAGGAGATCTGAAGGTAACGAACATTTGCAAACATGCCGGAATCCAAAGTGATGGTGCTAAACTTTGAGTTATTTACCGTTCTTGAATACATGTATGGATAAATAAATTTATGATGACATTAGAGACTTGCGATTTATGGCTCCAGGGTGTTCATCAAATCCTGTGTTTGCGAACGTTTCAGGAGCCTGAGATTGCCATCCCAAGAGGGCCATATTCTGCACAACCATTAGCTATTTAGCCATTTCTTCAACCGAGGGTGAGTGTTTAATACATTTTATTACTAAATTCATATGCCATCATGGGCAATGTGCGTTGAGTAGCAGCACCAATGTTCAAGAAGTCAATTTACTCTAAATAATAATGAAAATTAACTAATTCTAAAGCTAATGCACTTAATAAGTTTAATAACAGCCTACTCTTAAAACCGAAGCCTCTGATTTTCAAACTGTTGTTCTGCTCTTCTATCATCTCTCATTTTCAGCATAACCAAACACTGAAAATGCATTTCTTGCAGTGATAATAAAAAGAGTAGAATTAGCTCATTCCGTGTTTAGTCTGTCGTTTTGTCTTGGCTTCCAACATTAATGATTATATTCAGTTCTTGGGATATTTTTGTTTAGTTTGTGGTGCTTCTGTGGGTTTTCCTGTGTGTGCATTTAGTTTTATTTAATAAAGACTGCATTGGGATGTCTTAAATGGCACATTGATTTAGCGTGTTTTTAGTACGTGTATTATAGAGTTGAGGTTTCTCTGGCAGGAGCGTGTGTGCTGCACGACAGTCTGCCGCTGAACGTCACCGAAGTGTGTGATGGTCTGAGCTGCGGTCTGGGCTGGAACTTCACAGAATGCCAGCAGAGCGGCACCTGCTCCTTCGGTCTCTCCAACAGCTTCCAGGTGAGGCTCTTCCTCTTGAGAAGACACCAGACACCAGTCTTCTCACCTAAGGCTGTGAACTAAAGATTATTATTTTGGTCTGTGAATGTAAGACGTGCTAGTCTAGTGGTTGTAGTTGATCAAATATAAATAAACCTAGCAAAATGCCTGACAGCCAGTGATCATCAAGAGTGTCTACTGAATGGAGCAAAGCAGAAGAGAAAGGAGAGTTTAACAAGAGAATCAGTAGATAATGACAGAATGTTCTGTTTAAAGCAAATGATCTACAAATGATGCGACTCTATTAGACTCACCAAATGAAGTCGAGGGATTTTAGGATTTTTGCATGATTACTGCCAAAGCATTTTGTAGAAATCTGTAGTAATCATTTTTCTTTCTTTCTCAATCTTTTATTTTGTATTTGTAAGTTGTTTTTTTTTCACTAAGGATAGAAGAGTTATTTATTCATTTATTGTATATAGGTTACTAGAGTTAATAATTCCTGTATGCATTTAAAATGTTTTTATTCAATACTTGGGTTACTAGAGATTGGAATTTTATTGATTGATTGTTTGATTCATTAATTCATTCAGTCATTCACGCATTAATTCATTCAGTTAGTCAGTCATTCATTCAGTCAGTCAGTCACTCACTCACTCACTCACTCACTCAGTCACT